ATATGTATTTTATGAAATCCATTTATACATACTTTTATGCATCGCTGAAATTGAATTTTTACATCGGATCTTTTGAAATATTTAATGATTCTCTAAGTTTGACAATTATTTTGATCAATTTTAACTCCCTTCATTTAATATATTAGAAATTCTTTGAACTATTAAAAAAATGAAGAAAATTATAATTAATTAAAAAAATCATCGTTAGAATTTAATAAACTACGAAGTGTACTTAAATTCTGATATTTTTCCTTATTTTTATTTGTATTATTCTTTTTTGCACAAACGCAAGTCCTTTATTTATAGTAATTAAAAATATTGAGCCGTTTATGTAAAAAAACGATTATTATCTAATAAAGATTTTGCCATTTTGTACAAGGATTATCGATGAGAAGTAATTTTATGGAGTATCGTTAATTTAGTCGCGAAATGAAAAGTTGCGAAGGAAAAGGGAAGCTTTGCATTTGATTTCCAGCCGAATGAAGTTGTACCATTCCATGATATATTTCGTCGATTGATCATTGATTATCCGCAAATAGATTCTTACGTAACTCCTGTATATCTTTTCTACATAATCTATAAAGCCATTGATATTTTTATGAAAGCGTTGGGTAAATGTCATGCGTGATTGAGAAGAAGTATCTAGCGAACTTATTTTAAAAATGCTTCCGACTCCCTTGTAAACATTACGACTGTCAAAAATATTATTTCCGCACATCTATACATATACCTGCTATTAATATTCGCTTGGGCTTAACAATGCTTGTAATCCGCATAAAAATTTCGCATAAAAGACTTGAAGACATAGTCCGAAAATGCAGCCATTCTCAGAATTCGAAAATTTTATGCTGCATGTAATTGAGAATATTGTTGTCGCTACGCAAACGTCATCGTCACATATGTGAAGGTCAATGAGTGAAGGTGATATCTATCGTGTCTATGTTTACGTTAAAAAGAGGACACAAAGTCCAAGTTCTACGCGGGCGAAGCGTCGAAAAATAATAGACGAAAGTCCGTCAGAGTTTTATGGGAGGGATTTGGTTCTGCTATTCGATCAACGTGTATTATATTCACTTTCTTAGGTACGTAGGAAATGATCTAGAGTTTAGTCACGCATTAGCTGCTGTGCCTAAAATTGAGGTGTGATAGCAAAAAGTAAAGTTACAAAAGTTTTCATTGGTATACCAAGGATGAGTCGTTTTTTTTTTTTTTTTTTTTTTACCGAGTATTGAATAAATTTGTTCTTCCTTACATTCCAAAACTATCTAATATCTCGCAGCTGCAATTTATATTCATTATTAGAATGATTAAAATCTTACCTTAATTAAGAATAATGATTAGACTTAATCTTATTATCGAATAAAAAAAAAACACAAAAATTTACTCCAAAAGCTTTTATCGAATGATTATAGTTATTAATTATTATAATCAATGCGAGTGTGAGCTTACAGTCGTTTATACTGAGTGAGTTTATCACTCGATTATAACGAAAAATCTTATCTACGTATATTATTATTTATGATTAAATTAAAAGTATTATATAGTAAATTGCGACTGTATTCTGTTTCGTGACAAAAAATAATAGTTTTGTTAAAAATGCTTTTTTCAATGTCTACATTCTATTAAATAGACAGCTATTTATTTAATTAATAATGTCTGTTAATAACTTGTGACACGCAATGAGGTGTGAAATTCCTAAATTTGCTAATGTTAAACATGTGTCAAATATGTGTCAAATATGTGTCAAATATGTTTAAATGTAATCTCTCTCTCTCTCTCTCTCTCTCTCTCTCTATATATATATATATATATATATATATATATATATATATATATCATTTTATTATATATATACTATTTAACCTATTAAATTAAATGTTTTAATGAAAGTCTCACAAATTATATTTTACAAGGAAATTTAACAAAAGTTGTTGTTCAAGAAAAAAAAATATTACTAACTAATTTTTAACTAAAAATAAGCTTTATAATTTCTGCAATGTTTGTATATTTCAGTTTTCAAGTAAAATCGTTAGAGTTACGGCTATATTATGCAAAATATTTACAGAATTTGTATTTTATTCTCTCATATTTATACAAAAAAGGCTATTTAATTAATTTTATCATTCACTTGATATTTAGTTCAATTCATTTAAATATTTGCTTCTATTTTGATTATTACACTCAAATTTTGGGACATACGTTTCTAGTTATTTTTTACAAGTATTTTGTTAAATAATGCATAATTGTATTGTGTAAAGCACATTTTTTTTTATTTTAAGATTATCAGTTAAAAATTATAGAATCTAAATGATTTTCGAGTGCAATAATTGAAAATTATTCACATCGACCGATGATGTTTGATTCATAATTTATGGAATAATTATTTATAACTACGATTTATTAAATTACTTCATTTTCCATTATTCGAATGGAGTCTATTATATCTTATAATAATAAATTTAATTTATAAAGTTATTTATTTGGATGGATGATGTTCGAAATTTATACCTGGGTAAGCGATATAAATTACTTTGAAATAAATAATAATAAATAAATAATTTATTACTTATTATTCAAAGAAATAATTATAATTACATTTTGAGCTTAATCGTGATGGTTTTTGGATGAAATTTCATCCTTTATTTTCTTCATTGAAAACTACATTTTAATAAATTCGATGTTTAGTATATGTATATATGTATTATTTTAATAAAAAAATTTCACTATATAAGCTAAATCCTTTTTAATAGCATACTAAATTAAAAATTTCCTTAATAACAGCTTCAATAAATATATTTATTACAATGGTTTTTACATAGTCTGATGTATTGTTCAAAAGAGTTTATTAAAGAAGAATATTGTAAAATCTTAGACAAAGTTACTTAACTACTCAATTCATCTCTTTATAATAATTTATCGAAAATTTGTTTATCGCAAATTGAAGCAAATACTCTTTTTTCCCATTACATTCGTACATTATGTAACATTAAAAAATTATTATTCAATTATGAATCGTCTGTGTTTTTATTAAATGTAGAAAAACCTTTTGTATTGAATTATTCATATAAATAGGTATGCTTTAGTTATTTGCAAATCGTCAAATTTATTGAACTTATCATCAATAATTAAATGAATCATAATTGTTTCGGATAAACAGTAATGTGATTAACAGTAAAAATAATAAGACTAATTGGGTAATTAACATTAGAACTACAAAATGTTCTGAATTTTCTGTTGACATAATTGCTACTGTATATCCAGTTTCTTATTTAAGCTACAAAAATTATTCTAATGCGACACTTTAGCAAAAATAATAGAGGAATGCTATTGCTGGTCGCAATGTTACGTCAATATTTTATTAATTTCCGTATATAAGAATTGTTTGCCTTTGAATGTAAATGCGAATCGAATTATTACACGAGCGTTCGATTATCTAATTGCTACCATCTAATTGCGGCTGAAATATTTTTGCAGGAAGCAACGGGAGATTAGCCGAGACCGCAACAAACACTTCATGTACCGCAAGTGCGGCCGCGCAATTGCGTCTCCTTATGACTTTCTTTTACTTTTTTTTTTTCGTTCGAATGATTGCATTTGCATGAAGGATTTGGTCGCAGTGTAGTCGAAAGTAGATGAAAAATGTATCACCGAATTAGGTAATGGGCCGCGAGATCTACTTTTCATCCATTGATCGTTGCGTTTGTTTTCATTTTCCCCACTGCACCTTATCGCGGCTATCTTTGTCATTAGTCATGGTGTCTCTTTTTTGACAAGTACGCGTGCGCAATGACGCGCTCGGGGGCTGCACTACCTCGTCATTTATAATGTCCAACATCGATTATATGTATACATTGCGTTCGAACATCGTGGAATGCGATTTGAGGGGAGATAAGATGAATTTTCTATGTGTTTACATGAAAAATTTACTTCGCCCTCATCATTTCTAAGTTGCCAATGACTATTTTATAAGTGATCAAAGACTTTCATGTACATTTAATTTTTTTCCCTTTTTTTTTTTGTTTTTTTTTGTTTTTTTTTTGTTTTTGTTTAATAAGTTTATTGCGATAAAAATCGTTTATTGAAATCATAAACTATTGCTATTTTACATTTCCTCAGCTAATTAAAATAAAAATATCGTCTTTTGCAGAGTTAATTTATAGTAGTTTATTTATAGTAGGATAATCTATGAAACATTAATTTAATCTAGGATATCTAAATAATTTTTTTTTTCCGATTACGATTTACAATTAATTCACAAACGTAGGATTATAAGGTAGCTTAGATTGAAAATTGGTGAAAATGTATAATCGGCAAACCTAATCATTACACAAGTACTTTATGGTAATTATCTAGCTGTATAACATCAAATATAACTTATGCTTTATATATCCATATTAAAATTACTATTTAAATATCAGAATTTTACTGATTTACCAATTAAAGTACTAATATGAATAAATATTTAAGCAACGTAAGCCAAATTAATTTTCTTCGATAACTTAAATCGTATGATCTCTATTAAATTAGATTTATATGATTATTAATGATATTTATGAATTTTAATTGTTTACTTGTAACCTATATAATCATTTATTGTCACATGATGTAAAGTGAGTTTACCCTAAAGCTGATGTTCAACCTCGGTTTCATCACAAAACTTTTTGTCATTCTTTATTTCTTCCAGAGAATTACTTACGCTATCTAAAGTACATTATATGTATAGGGTAGTTAATAATAAATAAAAGAACTATCAATAAATAAATGTTAAACCGTATAGAAGTATCGAACTAGTTATATTAATTATATTGATTGTTGCGATATTCATTTAAATGAAAAAAAGTTAGTACAATGATCGCAAATACCGAAAAAGAAACATATTTTCTAAATGGAAATTATAAATGATAAGAAATGAAATACACGAGTTCATTAAAACTAAAATACAAAATAAGTTCATCGCGAGTATAAATGTACGCTCTACATTTTTCTCGTGTATGCTTGAGTTTATACCGATGTAAGGTTAAAAGTAATTATTCATTGAAATTCGTGTATATGGTGGGATTGAAAAAGTGAATGAGAAAAAGATTTTGCAGTGACGCAGGAAGCGAGAAAGGACAATTAAATAAGCATTTCTTAGCGCTTGTTCCCCTTCTTATTGTTCCATTTCTTAGCGTCCTCGTGTGCACCTTTCTTGCCGAACTTTTCTTCGTGATGATAATGTTGATCGAGACCTTCGTGTTCATCGTGACCCTTTTTCTCGCGATGGTGGTGTCCTTTATCGAATTTACCCTTTTCGCCGTATTCCTTCTTTTCCGCACCTTTGTGATAATATCCCTTTTTATGATGGCCACCTTTCTTCTTTTGATGTTGCTCGTGGTAGCCTCCGTCTTTGTCTACATCACCACCTTCGTGAAATTCGTCGAAAAATTCTGTTTTCTTGTCGAACTCGTCCTATAAAATATCATTCATTATCCATTCATTAATAATTAAAAATCAACAGACATATTATTCATATAATTTTATTTCTATATTTATACAAATTTTTTAATCGAATAGATGCTAGCAAGTAACTAATTAACGTTGTAAAATAAATTTAAACAGCAATAGATCTGAGTGACTTTTTGTTCTGCTGTTTGAAAATATAAAACAAAATTAAATACAATAGATTTTATCGTCATAATTTATTATATTCTCGGACGTGGCACACACACACACACACGCACACACACACACACACGATCGCGCGCGCGCGCGCGCACACACACACACAGAGAGAGACTTATATACACTTACGTGTATATATATATATATAAATTTTTTTTTTTGTAACGTCCATCAGATATGACCGTTAATTGATTTTAAAGCTATTTTATATACATTTACCTAAATGTATTATACATGCAAAAAAAGGTTTCAATATTTTCTCTAAAAGAATAATTTACATTTTACTAAATTAATTTATGCAAGTCATTTTGCTCTTGATATTTTTATTTCGTAATGTCTTTTACCTTTATTTATGTATTCATATATTAATTTTACTGAGCTATATATTATAAATGAGCATTATTAATGAAATGAATATAAAATACTGGAAATGATCAATCATAAAATGTTATGGTAACCAGTACACTAAGATATTCATGGTTAGACTTAAATTTAATATATAAAGCATAGTATAGAAATTAATTATATACGGATTTATATTTAACATAAATTTAAAAAACATTACGAAATGAAATGTTTCTACAACAAATATTTATATAAAGCCTGCTTTGAGTATTTTTAATAATAATATGTATGGTTTGTAAGTAGCTGCACCTTTTTGTGAATGACGTGTTCTCCTTTGGTACTGTGACCCTTTTTATGATCTCCTTTTTCCTTGAAGGCTGTCTTTTTTTCGCCTTCCTCTCCTTTTTCATGTTCTTCATGAAATCCTGACTCCTCGTGATGTTTTTTGTTTTTCCCCTCCTTTTCGTCATAGTGGTGATTATGTCCCTCTTTATCATGGTATCCCTTTTCACCTTTGTCGTGCTCGTGAAAATGTTTATAACCCTTTGCCAAATTATAAAAAACGTGATACAATTTATATGGATATATATATATATATTTTTTTTTTTTGTTTTTTTTTTATTTTGTTTTTGTAAATGTAATATTGAATTATTGTATAATGTAAATGTTTAAAGTTTACAAATATATATTAAGCGCATAAACGAAATTGTACGAATAGAAAAGTTTTTATTTAATTTTGCCTCATTAATAAGTAATCTATGATTTGCAACTACGTGGCTCATAATTGAGCAACCGAATGAAAAAATTTGCTAATTCTTCTTTCGATATTAATTATGAGATATCGGTGCTTCGAATTCTTTTTACACTTAACTTAAATTTGAATACGAAATACTCGAATTATCTAATAAGCAATACCTTATTTCCCTTTTCGCCATGCACATGGTGTTTATTTTCGTGATCTTCGTCCGAGTGTCCTTCCGCCTCATCATGACTCACGTCTGTATGATGCTTTTTATGTTGATGATTACCTTCTTCAATTAAATCTTGATCGCCTTCCTTCGAATGATTAGTCTGATGTGCTTCCGATATTTCATGTTGTGAATTTTGTCCACGATCTTGATCGTAATTGGAATCTGGTTCGGATGATTGGAAATCAATGTCTTGAGCTCGATTTTGATTATACTCAGGATTTATTTGTTTATGATTTCTTTGACGATGGCTCGAGAAACTTTTTATTTTCATTGGCTCCTCCTCGGACTGTTCGGCAGTTTCTTCTCTTACTTTATAAGAGCGACTAGATTTGCTCGGCTCGTCGTCAATTGCCTCTTCATATCGTTCATTATAACTGTAATTATAGTGATCATTACTATTGTTACTCTCGTCATCGTTATCGTCATCATTACTGTTACTATTTTCAGTGGAATCGTTATAACTATCATTACTTGAGTAGTCTTTATCATCATTATCAATCTTCTTTGATAAATTATGCTTTGTTTCTTCTGGCTGATTGCGGTTTATCGATGTATAGGTCGGTTGCACAATGGTTGGATAACCAATATTTTGCTCTTCTGGAATTACTTTTCGCTTAGAGTTTGGATATTCAAAGGTTCGCTTGATAGGCGCAGCCGAATGTATTCCAGTCTGATCTGTGGATACATTCTTAGGAAAAATGTTACGTCTTCGTGGAATAATTTGATACGTAAGTGTAGATTCCTGCTTTCTAGGATTATGCAAATTTGTCGACACTTGCTTTTGTTTTGTTGGAATAGTCGAATATACGTCTACTTGTTCTTGTTTTAAAGGAATACCCGACTCGGCAATTACTTGCCTAGATCCTAATGAAATGGTTGGGCGTATCGTTATTTGTTCTGGTCTTAATGAGTAAACGATGGGCTTTTGTTGTGTTGATTGGATTGAGCGCGGGATCGATTGTTCTACCGAAATAGTTGAATGATTGCCTGTTTGGTCTGTTACTATATTCTGAAATGTGGGATTACGTCTTAATGGAATAGATGGATGAGCGATTGTTTTGTCGGATATTCGTGAACCATGCAAATATGGAGTTGTCCATTGTCGATTATGTAGTTTATTTTTCGAATGTGTAACCGATTCGGTTTTTGGCGAAGTTATCGGATAAACATTATTCTTCCATGGAGCGATTGAAGAAGCAGCCAAATGCTCGGCTAAAGCAGTGAACGGAGCTGGGTAATTTTGCCTCGCAGAAGTAGTTGGATATGTCAGGGCGTTTTGCCTCAATGAAGATAACTGAGTTGGATAAATTATGGCTTCGGTAATCAGAGGATTATATTTAGCTGGAAGAGAGAACGGTCGAGGAATTTTATCACCCGACGTTCTCAAAGTTGTTGGTTGAAATATTTCATAAACATTTTCATTCTGAATGGATTTATGACTCTTGAAGTTGCCTTGTTTTTTTTTTAATCTTGGAACATCTACCTCTGCGTTTGATGTTCCAATCCTTATAAGATTGGTTTTGTTATCTTGGTAATTGGAGGTAATACTGTGATTATTATGTCTGCCGATAGAAGATATTGGTGACGTTTGATCGGTTAATGGAAAATATGATGGCGAAGATAATAAAGATGATGCTGGTTTCTGATTACTTTTAGTAAAATATCTCGGAAGAGGAAGTTCAGAAGCACTCTGATGATGATACGTTTCGTGTTGCTGAGGATGCTCTCGTACTTTGCTATATGCTCGCTTTGGAAATAAACTTTCTTCGACTAATTTACTTGCGGCGACTTTACCGTATTCTTTTTCTTGCTTTCTATGCCCTTGAATAACTGATTGTTTACGAGGAACTTCATAGTACTTTCTTTCTATTGGTAGCAGAGTTGTATACAATGGTTGAGCGTTTTTTTCTGATAAAAATGTAAATTAATTAATAAGCACGATTGTAAATTACATTGTAAATTTGATACAGGAATTTAATTAAATAAATTCTTTATTATTATGAATATTAATTATTTTAATTTAAATATTATCTGAAATTCAGCGATTGGATAGTAGAAAAAAGAAATATTTATAAATATTAATGTAAATATTTCATTCGAAATGGAGTTTCTTTGTATGTAATTAATACAATTTTTGTTCCTTATAAATTAATGAAATTTAATTTAAATCAAAAATTATATTAACAAATTGTAATTAAAAAGTCTATTTATTGGAATATTCAATTCATTACTTTTTATTATTGCTTCTACTTATATACATTGTCGCTTACCAAAAGTATCAATATTCTTCGAAATACTTTGAGCTTTCGTTGCATCAATTTTTTGTGGTTCGTATGTAACAATCGATAATGCTCGCTGCAAGCTTTCTGCATCTTGAAGTATATCGTAATCCTCTGCCGAAAAGATGTGCGAATTTGCCGGTAAAATAGTAGTAATTTCAGAAAATTTATTTCTCAAATTGAATTTGTTTCCTTGTAAATTTATTTTGTAACTTTCGTTTTGAGCATTAGTTGTTTTTCCCGAGCACTGTAAAATCTATAGAATTCAATATAGATATGCATATAAATAAATAAATAAATAAATAAATAAATAAATATATATATATATATATATATATATATATATATATATACATAATATTAATATTTATCGGTGAACGTTATAATGAAAATATTGTTTTAGTTTATAAAACAATCTTCTGAATTGCATAAGACGACCGAATAGCTTAATATTAGAAACGAATGGAAAATATTCGTAAGACTATTTATAAATAATGTATATTTAATGAAGTATGATTAGTTTATAAGGACGAAAAGGTATACACTGCATAGAATTGAAATGAAAAATTTATATTTTGCTTTATTATTGAATAAAAACAATCTGCCAATTGAACATAATGATTGACCGACACATTATACTTTTCTTTTATATTTCACATCAAAAATATATTCGTTTAAATATTTCATTAAAAATGATTAAATAGTGACTTATTAAATGATATTTCTAAAAATCAAAGGTATCACTAATTCCATAATTTATCGTAACAATTAGGTCACCAATGATATCACCAAATCTGTCATCGCACAAATAATGCATCTTTTGAAGACCGTAATTAGTGAAATCACACACTTAGTCACTCTCTCTCTCTCTCTCTCTCTGTCTCTCTCTCTGTCTCTCTCTGTCTCTCTCACTCTCACAAACTCTCTCTCTCTCTCTCTCTCTGTCTCTCTTGGGAAGCAGGTCGCGTAATTTAAGTGATAGAAAATGTTTAAGGTACCGTGTATATAGAAAGGACGAGTGCCTGAACGATTATCCGTTGATTCGCAGTCATGATCCTGTCCCATTGAGTGTCTGACTGAGCGGAGCGATCGTCAAGCCCCGGCAATTATATCGCTCCCATACAAATGGAAAAGGCGTATTCCCCAATGATACGACAATTTCTTAGCGATCGCAGCCAGCCAGTACGGACGTCGATCTGTACGCGACAGATAGCTGCGACGAGCTTCCTCCTTTCTCTCTTGGTTGCACAAGCACGAGCTTCTATGATTTTAAGTGCGGATGGCCGTGCGCGCGCGCGTGTTGCTCGGATTTTCGAGTATCAGAAATTGCCGCGACGGTCCGCCGCACTTTTCATTTCATCCACTGTCCATTACCTGCTCACAGAATGTTCATTAATTAAATGTTCGGAAACTTATGTCATTATTCCACGGCAAATTACGCTTACTCCCGTCGATCTTGTATTTTACAATCCTTATTGCGAAATTGCTTTCTCACTTCTCCAAATAGCAAGATTGCATAATCTTTTTTGGAAATATATTTGTAATGTAACACTTCGTTAACAATGATGGCCTCATCACGTTACATAAATAATCCAACGATAATGTTCAAATGCACACAAATTGTTATAAACATTTGAGATTTACCAATACTATGTCATAGACTGGCTCAATGCAAAATCATCAATTTTAGAGAGATTTAGAAAATAAAAGTTTTCGCAAATAATAATTTTAACCATGTTTCTTTCTTCTTGCTATTTGCTTAAGAAATAAATTATAATTTAATTAATTAATGTTCGACACCAGGATCGATTTAATAATAATGAGGGTAAAGCAATTTTATAATATGTTTAATAATATAATTTGATATTAAAGTAATACGCTACTCATTTACATATTTTCTTCTAATGCCCAATATTATTAGCTAAATGCATAATAAATGAATATACATGTTTAAAAAATGAGTTTTTTAAGAGAATTTTAATACTGGAGTAATACTTGGAATATTGGTTAGTGTATATAAAATCTAAAAAAATTCTATTTTTATATATCGATTGTTACATTAATCGTTAAAGTTTAAAAATAAATCACATATTGTACAATGGCACTTATTTAAAATGTCGTTGTTTAAATCATGCTTTTCAACCAAACAATTAGTAAAAAAAAAAAAAAAAAAAAAAAAAACAAAAAAAACTATATTAATAGCCTCACCTGGTTAAATAATAATAAAAGATACATCAAACATTCAAATTTTTTAAGTTAAAATTTGTCACCGTTTTGTATAGAAAATGAGAAATAAATCATAATTTATTTAGCTGTCTTTTTTTACCACATAGAATACAAAATTACACACGTTTATTAAATTTAATATAATTGTTTTTCATGACCTATAGATAAATAAGTTTAATTAATCTAATTAGTACCTGAAATAAATGTAAAATTATCAACAACTCTTATTAAGTAATATATTTAAAATTAATAAAAAAAATTTGCAATTATTTAAAATTATTATACAATTCTAATTTAAAATGAGAGTGAATTTTCAAATTTATTATAATACAACGAGATCCAACAATTAATTTAAGATTACATCTTATTAACTAATTTGTAGATAAAATTATTAATTAAATAGTTTTGTCAAAATACACGTACAATTCGAATGATCAATGAATTAAAATCAGCGTATAAAAAAATTGCAAAGGTAATAATAAATGTAGGTAATAAGTATTATTTAATATCGCAGAAACGCAATTTTGTAATTAATTTATCCATAAAATTGATATATTAGTTTTATTTACCCATAAGTATTTCTATATTATGACATTAAGCAATAATAATGCAAGCTATCGATGAAATTAATTAGTTGATACCTTTGAAATTGGTATAGTTAAAATAAGCATTTAACAATATCGTTGTTAATTAAAATGATTCGGTCACTTCGAAAACGAGTCTGAACAATTGTTATTTTATTTGCATATTGATTGATGATTGATATAAATCTTTAAGATGCATGAAAATTTCAGCATGGATAAGAATAAAGGAAGAAGAAATTGCTTATTTGGGAGGAGGAGAGGGGGGGGGGAAGGAGAAGATTAGAAAAATAGCAAATAAATTAAGAATCTATCCTAATTAGGCCAAAGTATAGGCATAGAATTAGCGGCTTAAAGGAGGAAAAAATTCGATCGGCTGTATACTGCGGGCACATAGCGACGGAGAGGATGTAACAGAGTGTGACCAATTTCACGCTAGTTGTTTTCACTTTCCTGCAAGGTATCGCTCTATCGTTGATCCACAGATAGAGTCAGCCCAATATCTATATATCATAATAAATTTCGATCTATTTAAGATCAGCGACCGCGATTTCGCGTCTTTTCTAACCAAGGAGAATCGAGGCTCGATCGATCAGTCAAATTTCTTTATCGGTTATAACGTCAGAACGATTTCGCAAACCTTGGCTACAGTTCACGCGAACATTACAAAATACGAGAGTCGAGTAATACTCTAAACCAACACAGTCGTAATAATGGAGCTTCTGCGCGCACAGTCGCACCGTCGCACCATCGATTCACTCAGTCAGTTAATTTCCATGATGTACTTTGCCTTTCCTTTACCGACTCTCGCTCGTATCATCCTAGCTTAATCGATTTTCTTCGTTTAAACTCTCCACGCTGCGAAAAATGAGATAATTTGCATGGACTTAATCGTAGATGCTGGCTATTGATATTTACATATTAATGTTCACGTTGATTGATGTATTTATAGATTGTAATATTTGAGTGGCGATGCATTGCGAGCCAAACGCTGAGTAGAATTTCAATAATTCATCGTCGACTATTAGATTGTCCATTCGCAGTCTAATGTATTTCCTCTTTAGATGAAATTTTCTCAAATCAAAAATTAAAAGTTTTTTTTCTTTTTATTCATTTATACGGATTTGTATGCCCATTTTTTCCCATAACCATAGGCAACTCCTGCATCGTGTTCTTTATGGTTAGCAAGATCTTCAACGTTTCTCTCTTTTTCACCGTGTTTCTCATGTTCGTAATGGCGATGCTCGTGTTTATGCGCCTCTGTTCCTCCTTTTTTCCTCTGAAATTTGCAAGTTTAATAGAACCTCTTATCATAATACTTGAATTACAATAATTTATTTAGAATATCGTTTTGATAAAAATGAAATGCACGCACACCATATTTTATAACTATCTAATAATAATAATAATAATAATAATAATAATAATAATAATAATAATAATAATAATAATAGTAATAATAATAATAATAATAATAATAATAATAATATTAATGTTAATTATATACAATGAAATGTATGTTTTATAATTTCTTTTATCTTCGAAGAAAATTTTCGATCTACAATATTTATTATAAAATTACCTCGTGCTTCTCTCCTATGTCATGTCCGGATTTATGGTGTCCATCACTATTCCCCTTATGATGTTGATGATGATTGCCGTGCTCTTCTTCTCCATCATCATCGTAAAACTCATCGTAAAAATCATGCTTTTTCTCGTACTCGTCCTGAAATAAATATTTTAAATTAAATATATAAACTTTACTCGTTGGTAAATAGAGAATCGGAATTGCAGTTACGAGTTAAAGATAGAGTGACGAATCAATTAATTAAATTCGAATGTTGAAAGTGTGATTGAATATACAATAATTACAAATGCTTCATAACAAAATAGACTTTATGAGTCCTAAATAAAAGTAATATGATAATAATAAATTGACCTTTTTAAATATATTGTGTTCACCCTTGGTACTATGGCCTTTTTGATGATCGCCTTCCTCATCAAATTCTGCAGATTCGTTTTCTTTTGTGCTTTTTTCGCGATACTTATAATGTTTCGCGTCATCGTGCTTTTCACCTTCATGTTGTTTCTCGTTTTGGAAATGATTTTCGTTAGTTTTTCTATCTACGTGCTGCTTATCTTTTTTATCGAGTTTCTTATAACTGTTATATCCCTAAAAATTATATTTCTATTTAGTAATATTCTTTATTTATCAATATGTCTCATTTCTAACATCAGTTTTTATTCTTATTATAAAGTTTATAATTGTAAAATACGTTTGTAATTTTTCAGCATATTAATGTATGAAAGAGAAACGTTTATTTTAAAAAATTTAAATAAATACAAACGATTGTTATTAAGATAACAATATCGTAAATTTAATATTACTTTTGTTATTTATTAATATAACACAAAGCTGTGCAACGATCATAAAAATTAATATTCTTGTAATATCAATCAGTCGTGTATTAAATGAGAATTCAATAGTACATTTTTATAATAAATATTTAATTAGAATAAGGTATTATATAGTTTTCTTGTTTCAGAAATAATTATGAAAGTGAAGCGTCCTATGCATCTTCTAGTTCGTCAAAACTAACATTAATAAATATGAATTTTTTTGATATCATCATTCTGCTGTTAGATATGATATTTGGATATATTAGCAGTGAATTTTTGGAAAAGAAACAGACGAGTAATTTTAGTCTTTTATTTGGGTGAAAAGAGAAAAAAAGAAGCAAAAAAAAGGTGTATCGTAAATGTAGTAATGTATTTGTACTGATTCCCAGACTTTATTGAAATAATAAACATTTCTACACTTAAAATAAATATGCCTTTCATCGATGATGGATGATTCGCTCGACGGGTTGCTCGAAAAACTTGTAATTTGGCGAAATATTTTGCAATATTAGAGCCTGCAATTAGTCGCGATACTTTAATCAATATTATACGTTAAATTAAATGGCAAATTGAGCTGAAATCTTAATATTATAATATACGATTTTTCTTTTGAAAATAATTATGACATTCGAATGTCAAAATATTTCATTATACGATAACTTAGCAAGTAATAGGGCGATTATTTGTAACTTATACGATACCTTATGAGCGTCGTCCGCTTTGTTCGCGCGACTATCTTCGTCATGTTCTAATGCTGCGCCGGTCTCGTGATTGTCATCGCCCTTGTTGCGATGCTTATCTGAAAAAAGTTCATATTTTATATATCGTTGGTAAACAGTTACGATAAAACAAAAGGAGAAAAATAGAACGGAATGCCCTGTTAAGTGTACGGCCCTTTTACATATTGTTATAGTAGCTCTCGAGATCGGAAGTTTTAAACGGTAGAACAACATTGTAAGAAGTCGGAGGAATGAAAAATTAGTTCGTGACGATCTTAAGGGAAGAATTATGGCGATCATACGTAAGAAAGGTTATAACCGCGGCCCTTGAGAAATATAATTTTTTAAATTGAAAGCACATGTCTGTTATATCGCCAATAAAATCAATCGATCACGGTGGAATGCAGCTCCCGTATCTTCTGGCAAATAAAATCCTCAGCGATCGTTTATCATCGAGTTATTCCATTATGATACTTATTACTAAATCTTGAAAGGGAGTAGAAAAGAAAAGAAATAAAAAAAAAATAAATAATAATAGTAATAAAAGTAAGCAGGCGCATCGAGATCGTATGTGGCCAAAGTTGCGGAGGTATCGATTATTATGGGCCGACGTTATCTCCGGTCGTGCCCTAATCACAGTCGCGGGCGAGCGCATCCGCCTCCGCTGTCGCCACCTCCCACTTCAAGACCCTCAGCTCGCCTCCCACAGCTCACTTAGCGAAGCTCAGGGATACTCGACCTTCGTGTTCGGTCCCGGAGATCTCTTGGTCCTCCCGGCTGTACCGAAAGCTCAGCGGTTCGCTGTAATACTTGCGGGCGGTGGCCGCGTCGCAGTCGTCGATCGTTGCGCTGACGAGAATCGTTATGAGGAGCAGGAGCAAACGAGGCCGGAAGCTTCTCGTGGTCCTCATCGCCGAGCGACTAACAGCTCGCGACGGACTTGTCCGGCTGATATTGCGGGTGCACGGTGCGCTCGCGCGATTCTCCACGCCGGGACGACACCGCGATTCCGGTGTGACACGGCCTTTTTCCCGAAGCCCCCCGTCATCACCCGAGGCTAATACAATATTGACTCTGACTCTGACTTGGCCGGCAATCTTCTTGTCCCGTTTTTTAACCCCCCCCCCCTCCACCCTCCCCCTCGCGGCCCTCATTAAAGCCCGATTCGTCGTGGTAAAGTTTTGCTATTGCTTTTTGCGGGGGCTCGCGCGCTCCGTAATCCTCGGCTTCAATTATGAGTCGACCGTTTTGTTTAATTTCGAGCTAATATTTGCTTACCGCGGAACCTCCATTCGCCCTCGCTAACTCTCGCTAAGCGCTTTCCCGCTAAATATTCTGCAAATTATAAGCTGGTTTAATTTTTCCTCTTTCTTTAGCTGCTCCGGTATCTTGTTGAAGACGCTCATGCCAAGAGCTCGTCGAGCGCTACGATGAATCTCTTCTAGTTTACGCTATTATATTGCACGTAGCCGTATTCTATAATTATTCGGTCAGATGCGCGTCAATTGAATTTTTGTAAAATTGCTTTTTCTATTTATTGCTTGTGATTGCGTGTATTCGTGAAATATTTTTCAACTATTAAAATACATTTATGAGATAGAAAATTCATTTCTCAACGATAATTATGAAATTCTGATGCTTGATATTTTTCGTTCCTCTTCAATTTGTATAATTTACTTAATTATCGATCAAAAGTAACAGATAATAAATAGCGGAGAAAAAAACAACAACAGAAAAAAAGATATAACAATAATTATTGGAAATTTTATTTAGATAATGTTTGTGTATGTTGCGAGTAAATCGGAGCCAATTGTCTCAACAAGGTAATAGATGAGCTCACAGTGAAATATATTATTCATAATAATTATAAATTATATAAAGGATAATAATTTGATTGTATGAAAGTTTGAGGGAAGCGAAATACATTATTAAATATAGCATACAATTCGCTTGTATTTTAAATAATATTTTAACAGAATGGAATGAACGATCGGTACGGCAAAAGAGACAAGTGCACAGTTGCATTAACATTTACAGGATAGATCGAGTAAGAAAGCGAAACATTAGTTTCTGATGTGCTGCGAAACCGCGAATTTTCATACACCGCCGTAGGCAAAAAAGGTCGTTGCGCTCTCGCCAAAGCAAGTCTGGCGTGAATCTCCCGACGCTATTTGTTATAAATCACGGATAGACGAATAGACAGGTGTGCGAGAATAAATAGAGAGTAGATTTCACACTCTGAGCTTTGTATTTTCTCTCTACTACCCATCTAAATGCCTCAATTATTATTGAGTAATAATTAATAATTAGGAAAATATCGCTTTATGGGTAGCGTCGGGTATTTAAAGCAATAAAACGCTAGTACTGGCGAACTGGAATTCGAGGTGAAGCCTTGTATTTATAAGTAAGATTGAAATGTTTATTTTATTTTATTTTTTCTTCTTCTTCTTTTTTTTCACAATCGTCTAACAATTTGACCCAAATTCAATAATCAAACTAGTTAGATTTGGGATATAGACGATAGGTTAAAATTAATTGTCTAAAAGCTTGTCCTGTGCAAATATTTTCTATGCGAATTAATTGATTGTAATTGTGCCGAGCCTTATTCTGCCGTTATTATTATCATTATTATTATTATTATCATTATTATCATTATTATCATCATTATTATCATTATTATCATCATTATTATCATTATTATCATCATTATTATCATTATTATCATCATTATTATCATTATTATCATCATTATTATCATTATTATCATCATTATTATCATTATTATCATCATTATTATCATTATTATCATCATTATTATCATTATTATCATCATTATTATCATTATTATCATCATTATTATCATTATTATCATCATTATTATCATTATTATCATCATTATTATCATTATTATCATCATTATTATCATTATTATCATCATTATTATCATTATTATCATCATTATTATCATTATTATCATCATTATTATCATTATTATCATCATTATTATCATTATTATCATCATTATTATCATTATTATCATCATTATTATCATTATTATCATCATTATTATCATTATTATCATCATTATTATCATTATTATCATCATTATTATCATTATTATCATCATTATTATCATTATTATCATCATTATTATCATTATTATCATCATTATTATCATTATTATCATCATTATTATCATTATTATCATCATTATTATCATTATTATCATCATTATTATCATTATTATCATCATTATTATCATTATTATCATCATTATTATCATTATCATTATCATTATTATCATCATCATCATTATTATTATTATTATTATTATTATTATTATTATTATTATTCTTATTATTATTATAATTATTATCATTATTATTATTATTATTATTATTAATTTTTTGTCTCGATGTGATCATTAGGGGATGATGCCGAGACTAAAAATGAACGTCGATCGATGCGCCGGATCGACCATGGACGGAGAATAATAATTTGACAATAATTGCCTTTTAATCGTCGAATAAATTACTCGTAACACTTTATTGTTCATTCGCGTGTTTGATGGATTATTAGAATTTTGTGTACTTGTGGCGCTTGAAGCCAGGCTTATCTTTACTCTATTAACCGAAGCTTCTTCGGTACTTTTATTAAAATTAATGTTCGATCATTTATTGGATAACTGGTGAATTAGTGCGAGTGGAGACGTTGGCGCCCCTGACTCTGAGCACTAAATTCATACGGATTTCATTGTATGATCGTAAGAAAGATGCAATCCATCATCGTCTCACTTCGTAATTGATCGCACCATTTGCCGATCGCCGCCCCTGAGTGAACGAGCTCGCCGAGTTCACGGATTCTCGCGAGGGATTATCGCGTGTGTTTAAAAGAGCCGAGGTGACGAAAAGTGACGTGGCGCTGAAAAGCCGAATCCCGGGGAGCGCAAGGACACGTGATCATCCGGACTCGTTTAAGTGTAGAAGTGGAAGCCGCAAATCTGTAAACGGCCTTCCCGAGATGAACGTCCTGACGCACGCGAGCCGATCACGTGCTGGAGCCTTCTAACGAGATATGCGGCAGCTAAGCGAGTTAGCGCTTAAGTCTGGCTAATTCGATTTCACCTCATCTTCGGGTGTAACGCGCGTGCGTCAACCTCGGAAAGACTACCGCGATCGCGCGACGACGTTCCTCAGGCTCGCGTAGGGCCCTCGAGATCGTTGGCCCAACAACTTTCGCTTATTTTCCTCGAGAAGATGGATGGCGAAATTGACATGGAGATGGGGATGGAGAAGCGCCCGGGGTCCAAGAGATACGGCTTCCATTTGCCTCGAGCCCTCAACAACAATGAGAAGAAGTATCTGCTTTCGGTTGAGCGGGCCGACCTCTCCAATGTCAGAAGAATCCTCCAGGCTGCGAATAAGCCGGCGGTGCAATAATTTTACTATTCATTTATAAAAACTTGCGCTAGTAGCTCGTAGATCTTTCGCTTGGGCTTTCATGGCTACGTGGTTGTATAGTGAAGTGGTCGGCTAAGTTAGTTCGTAAGGCTTCGCGACCGTAATGACAAAGACAGCCGAAGACAATTGTGTACGATTTAAAAAGAGTGTGGAAAATTTTTACTTTTAACAATGCTTGCTTAAATGGTATTTGGTTATCGTTGTTCCGTCGTGATTATAAGTGCATAACAAGGCCAATAATAATCGATGGTAGGCGTATACTGTCCCATTATGAATAATCGAAATTTTTTTACAAATTTAACAATTACATATTGCGTGCGTTCAAGGCTAATTCAACTCATTAGCGTTTGCATTGAAAAATAGCATTAATTGCTTCGATCGAGCAACCATGAAAAGTCTTAATATTAAGGGACATTGGCAGTCGCTTATGCTTTCGTAAAATCCAATGAAATAATCAATGTCAGCGATTGTTATCACAAGCTCCTATTTCTATGCGTATTTTGCTTAACCTTTCCATTAAAATGTTATTTTTTATTTTCAAATTTACCGATATGCGTATTTCAATGTGTATAAAAATAATTAAAATCGTACGATAATAAAGTTTATTAATTTGTTATTCTCAACGATGAAAATTAATTCTAACATATTGCACGTTACGTTGTATTCTACTCATAATTAATTGTATATGATTTAAAAAAAAAAAAAAAAAGTTTAATTTAATCTCTAACGTTGTTACTTAATAAATAGTAATGCGCCATTAAATAATTTTATACGTAAACATTCGCAAAAAGTTTAAAATTCATTAATCTCAAAGTTGTTCTGTTCCATCAAAATAAAAATCCATTAAACTATTTTGTTAGTAAAATATTTTGTCAGAGGAAATGTGAAAAAATCCCTCTGGCTTCTTTTAACTTATTAACAAAATAAGGGTGATAAAAGTTACCGTTTTTTTTTTTTCAATATAAAATGAAATCAAGATTTTTTTATGCGAAAATACAAAGGTAATCTTTAAAATTAATGTTATAATTCAATATATTGAAAACTCTACTCAATATGTTTTACAAGCTAACTCTCTGTTATATTGCTGAAAAGATAAATTATGAAATGACATATTTCTTTTGTATTATTTTTTCTTCTTCTTTTATTTATTTATTTATTTATTTATTTATTTATTTTTTTTTTTGCATGATGGATCACGCATTGAGAATGTCTATAACGTCCCTTAAACGTAAATTCAATTAATCCGGCAACTTATTAGTTAGAAGATTTTTAATGGAGTGAACTCTCGGAGAAAATGCATTATTTAATGGCCAATCATAGTCGATCTACATATACGTAATAATATTTCGCAATGAAATTGTGCAGTTACAGGACAAATGTATAGACGTTAACTGCGTGGATAGTCTTGGTCGTGGCGCTTTAACTTTGGCCATCGAGTCAGAGAATCTAGA